CCAAGTAATACTTTAATGATGATAAAAATGTAACAGGCTATTAGATTATTCGAATACTTTAAAGTGCACTGAAAAGCGTAAAGTACACTCATATATTGTTGTTTTTTTTCATGAAAGTTATCATATTGTTATACATATACATATATATGTAGATATATTTATGTATATATATGTGTGTGTGTGTGTGTGTGTGTGTGTGTGTGTATGTGTGTGTGTGTGTGTGTGTGTGTGTGTGTGTGTGTGTGTGTGTGTGTGTGTGTGTGTGTGTGTGTGTGTGTGTGTGTGTGTGTGTGTGTGTGTGTGTGTGTGTGTATACATACATACATAAACAAATACACATACATATACAGATATAGATACACATACATTACATTAAGATATACATATACATATACATATACATACTCATACTCATACTCATGCACATACACATACACATACATGCATGTACATATACATATACATATACATACATGTACATATACATATACATATACACATACATACATACATAGACACCCATAGAGACAAGCACACACACACTCACACACACACACATACGCATACACACATAACCACACACACAAACACACACACACATACGCATACACACATAAACACACACACACAAACACACACACACGCGAGCGCGCACACAAACATTTATATATATATGAATATGTATGTATATATATATACACATATATACATGTACACACACACACACACACACACATATACAGATTTAGACATATAGTTAGATATATAGGTAGTTATAAATATATGTATATATATACATATACGTATATATATATATATATATATATATATATATATATATATATATATATATATATATATATTCATATATAAAACGTTTGTTTGTATAGAAGGCTGAGTCTAAGCTATGGCGCCATTACTTCGGTCGCCACAAGACGGTTAAATCTCCGTGATAAATCGACAATAAATATCTAAAACCTAGTTAACGATACAGCCGTACAATACAAATTGCGTATAAGAAATAAGATAATGATAAACCATCTGTGACTGGCGTGTAAATAGTGAAGTTAATGACCTTTGTTTTAATGATAATAACGCAACTGATGCGCTACTCATCTAATAAGTGATTAAATTTGTGCCATTGCCCAAGTGTAGAGAAAGAAAAAATGTTATAAGGGTTAATTGGGAAAATCACGCGTTTTGGGATGAATGCAGTAGATTATTAAGAGAATTTTGTCGTGCTAATATCTGAGACCAATTGGACTTGTATGATGAAGGAAGAAAGACATTTTTTTATAGTATTAATCATATCATTAGATCAGTAAATAATGAAGTATTTGTAATTATACACGAGGTACTGTGTATTGATTAGATGTTTTTTTTCCTTGTTTTCTTTCAGTATACCATTGAATACATTTTTGATTGGCTGGAGACATGTCGCCGGATATTAGAAAAAAATACTAATTACTTGTTTCCATTTACGTTAAGATAGATATTTTGTTCTCAATCAATACTTAATGACTCATTATATATCCATAAATGAAGTAGAGGCAAATGTACCTATTTTGTTATTAATCTATTTTGACGTGTCGAATGTCGTTGAACTATAATATCCAATATGTCGACAGGACGCGGGGAATGTTTCAACATGCACATAGAAGGGTGCAGGTGAAGCCTTTGTACAATAATTGTAACCCAGATTATATCACGTTACATCGTTTGACCTCAAGGGAGAGTTGGTAGAGTCCTTGGGATTAAGATACGTACTCGGGATGTAGGATTAGGATACATACTAGGATTAGGATATATACTAGGTTTAGGATGCATACTTTAGGATATATATTCAGGATTAGGGTATATACTTAAGATTAGGATATATATTTTGGTTTATAATATATACTAGGGGCGTAGGAGTAGGATTTATACTAGGTTTAGGTTTAGGATATATATTCAGGATTAGGGTATATCCTTAAGATTAGGATATATATTTTGGTTTATAATATATACTAGGGGCGTAGGATTAGGATATATACTAGAATTAGAATAAGTACTTAGGATTAGGACATAGGATTGGGATATACAGTTAGGATTAGAGTATATACTAGGGTTAGGATAAGTACTGAGTATTAGGATATATACTTTGGACTAAGAGATATACTAGGAATGGTATATATACTTGGGATTAGGATATATGCTAAAGTTAGGATAAGTACTCAGGATATATATACATGCTTAGGCTTAGGATATATTCTAGAATTAGGATATAGACTTTAGATAAGGATATGTTCTAGGATTATGATAAAGATTTAGGGTTTTGGATATAAACTAGGATTAGGATGTAGAATTAGGGTAAGGATATTTACAATAGCCGTAGAGGGTTCAGCCACATGTCCTGTCTCTGTCTTACATTTAATGAATGAAGAAGTTTAGGAATAATATTTTGAGTTTGAATGTAAGAAATAGTAAATGATATTTGGTTATGAATATGGATCTAAACTCA